AAAATTAAATCATGAAAGGAATTATTAAAGATAATATGGTGCAATTGATTTAATAATTTTAAATATAAGGATATATCTTAAGCTTAGAGTTTATTACCTTTTCCTTCAAAAAGTCTTTCAAATATAGGCACTTGAGATCGTTCCCCAAATTGATCACTGTAATTGACCAGGACATCTTTCACTGTCTCATATCCAGAGAGTACCACCACCTTCTTTGGACCCATTTGGATGCTGTAAATGGAGCCATATTTCTGGGAGAGCTTGGGTATATAAAAAAAAAGAGAAGCAACTAAAACATGGTACTGTAATAAAAAATGAACTAGATCTTGATCTTTGATAATTTAATTCTGACCAATTAATCACATTTATATTCTTGTGAAATGACAATACTTGACTAGTTCACTAAAGATACTCCTTGGTTGCTATACCTGTTTAAGCCATAATTATTATGATCATCCACTGATTGTCCTTATGCTCCACTTAGTTTGAGATTTCAAGTAGCAGGGCTCTGACATCATGGATTGACTCCTAGTTTCTCTCTATTATATTTTTGTCTGGTCTCAGAAAATGCCCACCCTGGGCTCTAGGAAGACAAAGCACTTCCTGACCAACACACTGACTACATGACCACCATATTCACGCCCTATTCTTCATGCGATGCTATAACCATAGTAGGTCCAAATTAGTTCTGCACCACTGTGTGACATTTTGTACTGCAAAGAAAACATTCAATTTTCTTTGATAATTAAAAATAACAAGAGTGATCATTTATTGCTTCCTAACTATGTTGCCAGTTACTCTTTTAATGCACATTATAAACTAAAAAAGTAGATGTTATCATCATTTCCATCATATAGGCAAGGTATGGTGGCTTCAAGAAATAGTAAATAACAATGCTCAAAAAGCATACACATGGAGCCTTGTCATCTGCAGAGCTTGTGGTTTTACCCAACTAAGGTTTAGGTAAAAATGAGAAATGGACTTCTAACATTTCTTTCTTTAGGAAACTTGACTTTGGGAAATAGCCTTATAATTGCAACACTCGTACATTGTTGGTGGGAACGTAAATTGGTGCAGTCACTATGGAAAACAGTATGGAAGTTACTTAAACAATTAAAAATAGAAATACCATATGATTCAGTAATTTCACTCTGGGTATTCACCCAAAGGAAATGAAACATTAGTTTGAAGGTATATGCACCCCTCTGTTTATTGCAGCATTATACAACAGCCAAGATATAGAAGCAACCCAAGCATCCATTAATGGGCAAATGAATAAGGAAGATATGATAAACACACACACACACACACACACACACACACACACACGTGCGCAGAGGACAATTACTCAGCCATCAAAAAGAATGAATTCTTGCTATTTGCAATTACATGGATGGACCTAGAAGGTATTACGTTAGATGAAATAAATTAGACTGAGAAAGACAAATACCATACGATTTCACTTATAAGTGGTGTTTAGAAAAACAAAACAAATGAGCAAAAAGGGAAAAAAAGAGAGACAAACCAAGAAACAGATTCTTAATTATGGAGAACAAACTGATGGTAAACAGAGGGAAAGTAGCTGAGGGATGGGTGAGACAGAAAAATGGGATTAAGAGGTATAAACTTCCAGCTACAAACAGTCAAAGAGATGAAAAGTATAGCATAGGGAATATAGTCTATGATATTTTAATAATGTTATTTGGTGACAGGTGATGACTACAAAAACCTTGAATTTAAAGAATAACATTCAGATTGTAAAAGCATTCAATAATTTAGGAAGATAATAGAATTTAACTTAATGTTACAGGTAAGTAAAAATTAAAATAGGAATTTGAGTCTGTGAGGACAGTTTCTCAGGTGTGAACCACAACATATAAATTGGATAAAATGGCAGGTTTCAGAAAAGGAATAAAAATACAAAGGTATATTTTGAGAAGAAAATGTAGACATAGGCTAAGAAGAAGTGATGAAAAGACATTTCATAGGTGAAATTAACACAGAACAGCAGGACAGAAGTAAAAATGATAAAAAATGAAGATCTAAATAGTAAAGAGATTAGGCTGATTAATATGTAAGCAAAAGAACAGGAATGTTAGGAAATAAATAGGGTTGGGCATATGGAATTAGATGAAAGACTTTGTTGAGATCTTGTACTCCTGAGGAATTGACCTGTCATGTGACCTTTGAGTATAGGAGAAAGCTGTAAAGTAGCATTAAAAGATCAGAAAATGGAAGTCCTGGCTTTTTAGTTACTAGTAAAAGTTAATTGCTCTGAGTCACATATATGTAAAATGGAGATAAAAATATCATCCCTATTTTCCTTTGAGGGTGGTTGTAAGGAATAAGTGAAATCCTAGCAACCCTTGTAAAATAAGATTACAATACGAATATTAGATGATGGTGATGATGATGATTGTGTTGTCCACAGAGGCAAAGTAATGGTTTTCTCTTCAGTGTATCTCCTGCTATGGTATTCAAGCTTAGAATTTATAGAATATAGCAGAACTCAATATCAATTATCTGCTCTTTGCACTTAAAAATAGGAATTTATGGCCAAATGCAAATTTTAAATATTATATTTAATATTCTTCCTTCCCTCCCTACCTCCTCCCTCCCTTTCTTCCTCCCTCCCCTTCTTCCTCCCTCCTTTTCTTCCTCCCTTCCCTCTTTTCTTTTCTCTTCTCTTCCTTCTTTCTTCCTTCTTTCCCCCACCTCCCTCCTTCCTTCCTTCCTTTCTCCCTCTTTCTTTCTTTCCTTGTTTCTTTCCCATCTTTCTTCCTTTCCTTTCTCTTTCTTCTTTTCATTTTTTTTCTTTCTTTTCTTACTCCCTTTCCTTTCCTTTCCTCTCTTTTCCTTTTCCTTCCCCTCCCATCCCCTCCTTTCCCTTCTTTTTCTTTCCTTTCTTCCTTCCATCCCTCTATCTTATTCCATAATCAAGAACTGTAAAATCTTTGAAGTGGAAATTAGAGAAATTTGTCCAATATTTGGTCTAGCCCTGTAACTGTACAGACAAAGAAATAGAGATTAAATTCTTATATAAATTCACACAGCTAATTAATGACAGATAATTTTGAGTCTCAGTTGCTGGGAAAATACTGTTGATTGTGCCTTCCACAGACACTCTTTTTAATAACATTTAAAATTTTCTAGAGTAGACTATGATCATAATCAGTTCCTTTATAGAGAAATATGTAGGACATAGAATATGGATATAGAATATGGAATATGTAGATCAAAATGGCTGAAATCAAGGATACAGATCATAAATATTTCAGGTAAAATACCGCTTTAAATAATAGAAATATATTTACTTATATTTTTATACCCAAATTTAAAAGAAACTAAACATTAAATAAAACAGCTCAATTAACTTCGAATCCTATTTAATTACTTCATTATACATATACGAACCAGTCATAAGAGTGCACATGCTAATAAACTCGTGAGGGTAAGAATGAGGGTAGAAAATTATAAATAAATATGAAGCGAACAATCATTTTTTACCTCCAGCATAGTTTGATATGGCCTCTTCAGATTGAGAATATTCAGATTTCCAATAATTGGCAAAGGTCTGGGTCCTGGAGGAAAATGTTGCTTAGAAGCTTTAGTCATGAAGATTTTAATATTGAAAAGAAAAATGAGAAGCAGGCTCAGAATTGGAACTATGACAGAAGAGTCAAACCCACTCATTATCTTTAAGTAGAAGTAATTGTCAAGGTAATAGAAATGTTTGCAATTGCAACAAGGCAGAATCAGTGGCTTCAAGTGCAAATCAAAAACATGAAGGCATTGCTCATCATATTTGCCCTATCTTCTAGTCAACCATCTATTTTATAATTAAAATGAATTCAGCCCTACACAGTATGCTTGCCTTATTTCAGCTCCTTCCCCCTTCTCTCTTTTCACTTCTCAGTGCAACTTGTTTTATCCAATAGAGCCTGGAGGAGGGATTTTCTCTTTATGTAAAACAAGGATTTATCTTGATATTTCAGAGAAATACAAGATGTTCAACCTTCAGTGTGAAATTTACACTTTCACAATAAAAAGAATTGTATTGTTTGCTAGGATACCCTGTGATCTGTGTGTGGTTGGACAAGTATCAGTGTCACACCAAGAATGTCAAGGCTCTTATACAATAAGTTCTCACCCTTCCACTCTCCTAAGAGTTTCACAAGAGTCTCAGTGCCAGGGAAAGGGCGTCGGTTTTTAAGGTGAAGGCTGTGTGCAGATCCTGGCAGGTGACACATCCTCTTTGAGCCTTAGTTTCATTTTAAACTGAGAGAAATAAATTATTCAATTGTTGCAATGAGTTAAAAATGAGCAGATATATAGCTCCTAACATAGACTTAAAATTCCTGGCATTCCTCATTTTTTCCTTTTTTCTCTCCTGGTAAGCTTTCTCATTTGTTTATGTCTGTATTCTTTTCTGTAATTTTTTTTTTTTAAATCTTGCTGTCATCAAATTTTCCAACTTTTTGTACTACTGACTCTCTCTCTTTTTTTTTTTTTTTTAAGATTTTATTTATTTATTTGTTAGAGAGCAGAAGCAGTGGGAGCAGCGGGCAGAGAAGCAGATTTCACATTGAGCAAGGGACCCCCCCCCATGTAGGACTTGATATCAGGACTCTGGGATAGTGACCTGAGTTGAAGGTAGACACTTAATTGAGGTGGCCCTGTGCTACTGACTTCAACTATGCATCTGGACTATAGCCCATTCTAGTTGATTTGCTCAAGAAAGAAATATTTATCTCTCCTTTTTGTGTTAGAATGACTGAATAACGCACTCATTTAATAGATTAAATGGAAAAATTTTTTTATATTGCCTTCTTGATAACAATATTTCCTCAAGTTTTCTAGAAGTTGCCATTATGTTCTATATTTACTTTTTAGTTTATCATTTGTTGTCTTCAAGGAATTTAAAATTCTTGAAAACAAAGACTCTATTTTCACCCTGTACCCCCAGTTGTGGGATCTCCAATGTTTAGAAGGAACAGTGCCTGGCACTAAACAAGCTTAAATTAGTGAATAAATGAAGGTGCAAATAAGTGATTGCACTTATCTTCTGAATATTTCATTTCTGGAGAGTCATTCCTAGTAACTTAGAATTTGGGGAACCCAATGGCTGTATGTAACAAAATTCTGTGATTCCGTGATTTTGTAGATAAGTAAACTGGGACCAAGAGAGTTCAGGTTTGTATTCAATTCCGATTCAGTAGAGCTT